GTCAGTTACCAGCTGGTATGTTTTTACTGAAAATGGATGTTGTCAAACAAAACTGATTATCTACCAAACTTGTAATTTGAAAGACTATAAATACAACTACAGGGATGCAATAGCACCTATAAAGAATCAATTTTTGAATGCCAATTAAATGGATTAAGAATTGACCAACAGCTTCCAGTACATCACTAATGATATTTGGAGGCTCCAGAGTAAAATTGGCACACTTCCATTAGTTATCTATGAGTAAATCCACAATTATTGACATTCATGAACAATACCTGGCTGCCAAGACAGGCAGCTAAAAGGCCAGAATTCCCATTAAGAGCAATCAAGCTACAGTTCTTAAAATAAAACAGGTATTAATAATGCCAAGTTCAATATGGGTGCTAAACATCTTGCATACTACAGTCTCCCAATTTAAACTGATCACCAGGGATAGATGCAGGGGTTCAATTCTATACACGTAACTCAGAATTAGTCCCAGTCTTCCCTCCTCTTGTCTTGTGAATTGAGGCTCACAGCCTAAATCTTTTTTTTTTAAAATTGTTAGTTGTGTAATTATTATTACAAAAGCAAATGTTTATTGATGCTCTTAGTTATGGAGATAAGTACTACACCTCTAATTTCACAGCTAAACCTTACTAAATGTGAAGCTATTACTATGATTTACTGTGGAATTAAAATTTTCTACACTTTACCACACCTTTCATTTAATTAAAAAGGTCAGTAAAAAGAAGGGAGTGCAATTTATCTTTTTTTTTTTTTTTGAAAGACAAGTGTCAATTACTGAAGGGAGCAAGACGAAGGGAGTGCAATTTATCTTTTTTTTTTTGAAAGACAAGTGTCAGTTACTGAAGAGAGCAAGAGTTTGTATGCATTTATTAAGAACATGTTTATGTTGAACATAAATGGGCTGACTTTCCAGCTTTACTAAGCTGTTGATCACCCTAAAAAAAATAAATCCAAGAGTTAGCTGAAATTCACAAGAAACTTTTTTTGTACACTATTGAATCTCATGTCGCAAGCTCACACTCTTCAGGGATTGTTTGTTTTCATGTGAATGAATGCTATTCCATTAAATATCAATTCTGTCATGGAAGGTAGGGGGCCGGACAGTGAAGCAGTATTGATGCACAGATTTACCATTAACATTTTCTGTGAGGCTGTAAAATTGCTTCATTTTCATCAAATATGGATACTTTCCCTTTTCAAATAGTTTGCGGCCAATTAACTTCCATTTACAAAGTACAGAGACTCTTGGAAGGTACTGAAAACCAGGGTTTCTTTCCTTAGGTAAAGGATAGTCATTCTCAATGTTACAATGTGAGTGAGGGTAATCTGACCCTATACTTCACACCATTCCTTTGAAGACTGCGACATAGAATCCACTCCCAGTATTTACTAAGCCTTGTTTTATTCTTTTTAGCCTAAGTAAGACTTTACTATGAACCTAAATCCCCTGATTAACATCGCCTCCTGTGATCATGGTCCTGATTTCTGGAAGAAAGTAGTCATCTCAGATGGTCATCCAGAAGATGACCAAAATGTTTCAGAAAACATAACCATTCCTGCAACTAAGAATACCTTCCCATAAAAGTATCAGAATGCCTCTAGTTTTCAGTTCAAGTGAACTGAAACCAATGAAAGTGAACTCAAAAATAAATAACTTTATTAAATGACCTGACAACATATGACCAAATCTGTTGGCTCTTTCTATATTTTTATTGTTTAAAAAGTTTGGTTTTGTTTACCTCCTAATCATATCAATACTGATTTTACATTTTATTAATGGTATGGCACTGGCTAAAATTTCAAGAGTTTTATGCAAAAATTTTATTACAGAGGACATATGAATTTGAGGGTTGATGCAACAATCATACCCTTTTCAATCTGTTTGATTATGGATGCCTATGCTATGAAACAAAGAAAAAAACAAAATGCTTTTCTAGGCCAGTAATTGTAGGATTCACTAATTCATCAAAAAGTCCATTCTGTGTATTTTAAAACAATGGTAGCACTTCAGAGTTCTGTCTTTAAAACTTCATAGTTTTGTGTATTTCCATTAATAACTTTAAGAAACTGAAAAGCTTTGAGTGGTAAATATATGTTGAAATCCTTGAATTCAGTCACTCAAACCCCTCTCTTCCTTAAGGCTGCTCTGAACAGCTCTTCTCCATTTATTACCTAGCTCAGATTACACCAAAGCGTAGTGCAAGGGTCAGGGGAACATCACAATTTCACCCGCATCCTCCAGCATCTGTACTCTACACAGGTGTTGCTATAAAGGCAAAAAGGTGCTGACCTTCAGGTCAACTCACAGGGCACTTAGGTGTTGGTAGAACAGAAGGAGCTTAAATAACCATGATTTGCACATATGGACCAAACCAGACTATAGCACCCACATTTCATTTTTCAAAGTGAATTTGGAAAAGAGGCAAATATGTGCTAAATACTTCTCTATCTATTCTTTGTTGCTCATTTAAAACAACATTTTTCCCTGTACTGTTTTCCAATAATCACTCCAACTATTTCAATCAGTTACACAAGGAATTAAAAAAAAAAAGACTAAAGCCCTGCCTTTACACTGTGGTGCTTACTAGTCCCAAGATTTGCTTAAGATCACATGCAGAAGTATCTAGGATCTTTCTAAAGTAAAGTCATAGGAAAAGCCCATTTCTCACTGTACAAATTGTAATTTGGCACAGGCAATAAAATGTTCCTCATAGAGATGCATCTAAAAATCCATGCCATGGGTAATGTCCTGATTTAAAACTTCTGAAGTAACTTTATGAATTACATCAGTATGCTCCAGTCTCTTAAGATGTTACAGGATATCTTTTCATTCAGCAATTAACCTTACTCCATCATCTGCTGACATTTTTCTCTCTCACGCATGCTTAATTGACAGATTGCAAAGCGAGTTAAAAAAAAACCCAGAACAACAAAAAAACCAAACCCAAACAAAATCCCCCAAACTACTTTGGCTTCCAACCATCCCTGCAGTCAAGGTCTTTTAAGTAAGTTGGTGCAGTGACACTGCATTCGCTTGGCACTAGAGTATCAGCCATCTGCATTGTTACCAAGGTTAAATTCCAATGTCAGGAGAACTGCAAGGAATCTACATGCCATCCCAGGATTGTTACCAAGGTTAAATTCCAATGTCAGTAGCACTGCAAGGAATCTACATGCCATCCCAGAAGAGTTTCTGAATCACTGGTGAAACAGAAAGTAGTAGGAACTTCTTTTTTTTCTATAGCCAAAAGCCACAAACTGATTGTAATATATTGCATATGACAAGGCATAATCCATCCTTTATATGCATTGTGGAGTAATGTCATGGGACTGCAGGGATTGTGAATGGGCATTACAAATCCCACAGCATCAGGAATACTAAACAGCACTAGTATCTAGAAATAACTTCTTTACTGTGTTAGGATTATTTTTGGAGGTTTTTTCCCAATTTCTTGAAGCCAGCCATACATCACTGAAATGCTACAGTACAGAATATAAACCACTTGCAAACATTTTCAGTACTAAAGCAAACTCTCGATATGTCTATTAAAAAATGAGCTACAGAAGAGTTTTGAAAAGGAATCTAACAGTTCAGTTTGGCTTCAATGAAAGCTGAGTACCCAAAGGCTCTTCTAAACCCCCCCCACTGTTGCCTCCTTCCAAATAAGCAGCTTTGCTATTACCTGTTCTGTGCTTGTTAGAATTAGATCAAGAACTACAATTGTTTAAACATTCCTCTGGTCAACCTCTGAATCCTATTAATATTCTAACAAACCCTTTGAAAGTCTGCCTACATAATACTGAGCAAAATAGTACTTTGTCAAAAAACAGGAGGAAAAAAAGTGTCAATCCATATGACACAAATGTGCATTAAAGTGCTAGGAGACCACTTAGTTGAAGTGTTACGTCTGTCATCTTGGCAGTGCACTGCGAAACAGGGAGACATCTGACAATTTTTAATTAAGAGTTCCATGAGTAGGTAAGCTCGGTCAGGCTGTCAGGGACTCTGTGTCCGTGCCACTTGTTCCAGTACATGCAGAATGGAGGCACTTCTTCAAGCTGAGTCAATCTGAGTCAGTGTCTCATATCTCTGAACACCAATGCATGACATTTAAGTGAATCATAGCTGCCATCCCTGTAGTCTTGCTTTTCTATGCTGTATTTACTACACTGTTATTTTAGGTAGCAGAATAGATTAGCTGCTGATGCTCACTCTTGCATCAGCCTATTCTCTCTCCATGAATTAATGGGGTCAACATGCTTGCTTTCTCTCTTACATGCACATGCACACACACATTAAGGATGTTATTTTTAATTCATGTGCAGCTCACCCCGTACGGAGTAGGAGGAGGGCTGTTATACAACTACTTGTCTAAGCAGCAGGTTCAGTCTCAAAGACAGCAGCTCTTCGAGTAAAAGATATATAAGGCATATATCTTCATATGAATATGTAAAGAGAAGGTACATATGAAAAAAAAGCTATAGATAAAGCTATAAAGTAAAAGATCAGGATATGTAAAGAGAAGGTACATATGAAAAAAGCGCTATACATAAAGCTATAAACTAAAAGATCAGGTGTAAGAAGTTGTCTTTTCCAGGCAACGTTAGCCAAAGAGAATACAGTGGGTATCTGGCATATTAATTAATCCAGTGAATTCCCACTTACCCTTGCAATCAGCAGATTAGTTCATTATAAACAGTCCATGAAGCTCACGGCATATGCTTTACTGTAAGTCTCCTTAAAAAGCTGTCAACTCACAATTCATATAAAACTACTCAGAACCGCTCACAGAAAGACAGCAATCCCATTTTACTATCAGTATGCAGGTAATGCCTTTTGTTTATCACTTCATCATACCGCAATAAAATAGCATATATAAAAATATTAATCCATAGTGCTTACCGCTGAGAACAACCAAAAATTCACCGTGGATTGTAGGGGAAACATTTGAGCTCCAGAACAACCTCTGCATCTCTGTCTTCCTTACCTTCAGTTGCCTTGATCGTGTAGCCATTCTCTTCATTTGGTGGTACTTCTAGAAGCTGCATGACTCTGTCCAGCAAACCATGGATAATCTCAAACCCTGGGCTCTTGTTGTAGTAAACAGCACAGAAATGCCTGTAGTTTCTTGCACCTACATCTGAAGAAGAAAACAACTATGTTATTTGGGAAACTTTATCATGCTTTCCACCTTGCCTTTTGCATTTTTTTTTTTCTGCTGTACTGTGAGGCAATTGTGGCTGAAAGGAGAAATGGGTATGTAAACAGGCTTCTCTGAGACACCTCCCATAATCTGAGGAAATAATTTCTTTAACCCACTGGACTCCCACAGTCAGAAATGAAAAGAAAGATTTAAAGTATCCTATGCCTTGGGGCAGGAAACAGAGTTGTTACACAGGAAATAATTTCTTTAACCCACTGGACTCTCACAGTCAGAAATGTAAAGAAAGATTTAAAGTATCCTATGCTTTGGGGTAGGAAACAGAGTTGTTACATACAAGTATCTTCTACCCAGTGACAGGTACCAAGCATATAGTTAAGTGTTAAAGAAATTAAAAACAGACTAGCCAAAATGAAAATAGTAAGCATCAAGAAACTTGTGAGGCTGGTGGGAAAGCTAAATATTTATAGAACTCAGCTGCAGAATAACTACCAGTACAAAGCAACTAGCCCACAACCTGAAATGAGTAATAACGTTAGCATGGTGATCTATGAAAAGATCTAAACTCACACAGGTTTCCAAATCACAGCTGATGCTTTTCATGATCATCTTTGACATCCCCTCAACCAACTATGAAAAACATGTCACGTTGCACAAGCTCAGGACTGTGACACGAGTGTCTCCCACTTTGGAGAGTTCCCTAAGTCAAAACCATGCTTTCTCCCTGCTGTAAGTTTTCTTACATTACTGATTTAATCAAAATACTTTTTTTTTTAAACTTTCAAAATGAGTATGTAGTACTATGTTGTTACACTGTACCTGTAGGTTACACCACTACTGATTTAATCAAAATACTTTTTTTTTTTTTAAACTTTGAAAATTAGTATGTAGTATTATGTTGTTACACTGTACCTGTAGGCTACACCATTGCAATATACACTCTCTACAGCTACTGGGGCCTGCTTCAATGCTTTACTCATTGTTGGTTTCAATGTTTTCACTTTTTATAAGGAACCATCTAGGAACAGAGTATCAAGTCTATTGTCACAGCTGCCAATTAGTAGCACTGAAATTCAAAATACTGGTTAGTGCAGTGAACTTGTTTATTGCCTTCAGGTCTTTACCTTCCCAAGGTTAAAGTGCATGCATGTGTTCAGGAAGGTTGGTGTACACAAGGGCAAAGTTTGCTGAAACCAGGGAAGGACTCTTTATGGGACTGTCCTCTTCTTCTGGACATACGTATGCTTTGAAAGCATCTTAAGTATATGCATTGCGTTTCAGTTTGGACCAGACCTGCAGTTCTGAAGGAAATCCCCTGATCATCCCTGCTTACTGTGCTTCTGTTCACACTGTAAAGCAACCCAGCTGCGTACAAACCAGCGTCCTTTCAGCTGCAACTCAATCAGGACAGGTGTTCCAGAAGGGCGCCTGAACAGCTCCAGCCACCCAAGGGCACTCAGCACGCGTAATCAGACTAGAGCTGGTCAGAAGGACAGCTCATGTGAAATCTGTTATTTCTTACTATAGACAAAGAACCATGTTTGAGTTGGGAAGTCTCTGAGCTACTCGTGGCCAAGGAACAGGGGAGCACTCTGGAAGTATTACATATGCATACCTGCTCTTATGCTTTTCCCCTGACAACCGCTTTTAGCTGGTGTGACAGCCAGGTGATTGGGCTAAACCAGCCTCTGGGCTGACCTGCCATAGCCGATCTTTGTGCTTGATGTATAGTGAGCTTAAATTGAAGTAGAAACTTAGCACTCATTGAGTGTTCTCTGAACTGTAAATATCTACTGCATAAGAAATTAGAGATGATTTTAAAATTAAATTTACATCTTGTTTATTTGCTTCAACTAACCATTTAGTAACAAAAAAATCTATCAAAAACTAAACAAGGAAAACATTTACCAAGTGACCAGAAATTAAAAAGGAGTAAAAAAAGACTGCAAAATACAGGAGTAAGAGCCCATACAGAAGATAAAAGCACAGTCTTTTTGAGCCAAGTCATTTAAAGCTGCTAGGGCAACAACTTGGCAATACAGCTGCAAATTCTCTCATCAGTCACTGAAAGTTGAACTTACTCTGACAGTAAGTCTGCATCTTGTCACTCAGGATCTTTTCCCCATCATTATAGTAATATGCAGTGTTAAATAATGCCTTGCGAATCTAAGGCTGAAGTTAAATTGGCAACACAAAAAAGTAAAGGCTACAGAGAGAATAGCAATAAATGCAACATCTCATTTCTGGTCTGAGCATGCTGGCTGTTCAGTCCCATCATGTGTATCTCTGTTTCCCAGCTCTACTAAGATACCCATCAGTAATATATAGTCATGAATGGTGGTTAACTTATTTTCATATTGTATTGAGCTACAGAAAAGAAGAAAATGTTTTTTCCCCTTCCCTAAGGCAGCATGTTCTTTGGGCTAGGCATTCAGCAGAATGATTTCCTTTTTTCTGTGAGTCATTATGCCAGCAGACTTTGTGACAACTATCTGAATTTTAATTTCATTATTATTCAGATAGTCAATGGTGTCTTTAGATCACTATTCTTAACTAAAGCATCAGAAATAAACATACACAACAATTTTTATACCTCATGTTTTCAACTGTAGAAATCCTTGGTAAGAGAAAGGATGCATTTTCAAGCATTCAAAAAACCTTTGCTTATAAAATGTGCTCCTTTATGGAGTTAAATTGCAACACAAGAAGTTCATTCACTACAGGTGCTAGGAAGAAAAAAATAAAGTATTAGGAACTGTAGGCAAAAGCTGGTGGATGTTAGAAATGGTTCAGTTCTTTATAACTCACTTAAGAGATCTCTTGTGTCATGCCATGAAACACTTCTATTTTTTAAATGAGCCTGCCAAGCATGTCAACCTAAATTATATATATATTTATATATATATTTCTGAGACTTCAAAGCACTTCCTGGGGATGCTGCTGAAAACCAATCCAAAGGATGGGCAGCTGGTTAGGAGTCTGTGAGCCAAGAGAGTGCAGAGGCAGATAAAGCAATGTTGTATGCTGCCCCTTTTCAAATTAGAGATGCTTCAGAAAAATGACTTGGTGATCTGAAAGGGGGCACCTGCTCACTTAAACTTGTCTCTCAGCCTCACAAAAATCCCAAACTGTTCTGCATGTAACTAACACTTCCAGACAGTTTGGAAAAATGCTTCAAAATATGTCAGCAGCTGTACTCACAGGGGGTGTAAATTGTGCTAAGTGTGTGCTACCATAAGCTTGCCAGATTCTCCAGGATCACCAGAGGTGATTTTCTAATGAATTAATTTCTTTTGTTGCAGTAAGGAAGAGAAAGGATACTCTCTGTTAGGACTGGTGGTGTAAAGTGAGGATTTATATGCTGAACTAGTGTTACTATCCTACCAGAAGTGACTATCTAGTGTTACGAGCTAACCATGCAAATGCCGTGAAACATATTCAAAATCAGCACATTTCCTCCTGCCTTGAGAAGGAACATTTCTGCTCGGGTTTGGTTCCATTTAGTTATATTAAATCTGGCACAGGTTTTGCTAATTTAGTACATCAAACCTTTCTGCCAGATATGTCTGAAGAGAAATATGCTCAGTTCACCTTGGTAAGCATGAGTTCTGCATAAGAAGGTATTTTATTAAAAACCAGTGTGTTTAAAAGAGCTAAGTTCATTCACACATGAATGGCTACAAGACGCCATTTCAAATACAGTTAATGTCAGTCCTCTTTTGACCCATACTTTTTAAATTATTAATTGGAAATTCTGCATGCCAAAATCATGAAATAATAAAATTAAATTAGTCAGTCTGATGACATAAGCCTTCTACAGGAAATCTCATTCCATATGTGAGAGGACAACCTCACATTTTTCAGTGTGTGCAGAGTTACCCAGTTATTTCCTTCTCCCCTCACCCTTCGAACTGTTTATTAGGCAAGTTTAATTTTGGAAATAAATTTAGGAAAGAGAATAGTTATTCTACATACAACATTGAAAACAATTTCAGATACTGTTCACAGTCTGCAAGTGCTGAACCCATGAGAGGGCTGCCCAAGAACATAGGGTACAAAGCTGCTGCCTCAGAAGTCTATCTTTTGTCCGTTGCAATGATTCCCACCAAAATGAAGTACGCTACAAAATCAGCCTTTATAAAACTGTTAAGCAGGCACCCACGCAAATGAAAGCTTCAAAGAGCTACAATCAACACACATGAAATAAAAGTAACAATTTAACTTGCAAATTTTACAAAGCCAGAACAAATGCACTCCCTAGTCCAAGGTAAATAGTTCCACTCCTGGTTCTGAAGAATGCTGACGCTATTCTGCGATTTGTACAGTTTTTTGCATTCTAGCTAACTGCATGCCCAACAAGGAATAAGCTGCACCACCAAGCTGTCTGTATTTAATAAAAAAGGTCTACATGGTTTGCTAAAACTGCTTATTTTGCTTGGCAGGGCTTTTTTCTTTTTTAAAAAAAGTACTCTACAAAATAAATACATCACCAACGCTATTTACTTGACATTTTGTTTATGCCTTATGTAAACCTTTGTTTTGCAGAACCCAGATACCTTAAACACAACCACTACAATCTGACGCCAGATAATGAAACAGAACCATTTCTGCTGCTGATTTTACAGTAGTGTCAGCCTTTTTCGCTGAGAGGCAAAACTTCATTCAGTTGTAACTCAGTGTACGTGCACTTCTCTGGAAAGTTGTAGCTGTGCCCTCCTTTTCCCCAATATACCATGTAAAAAGAAATGAATCAGTACATTATAGATAAATGCTTGTTAACATTTTGAAAATCCATTTTTACAGTTCAGTTTACTTTAACACATTTTTCCAGGTAAAAAAGATAATTTGAAATTTTATTCCTATTCAGTGAAATCAGTGCAAAGAGAGCCCATCACACTGGAAAGATTTCACTGAAACTTTTGAAAAGTGAACTAGCTGTTTCATGTAAAACAGTTAAGGTTACAGAACAAAGGCAGCCATGTTTTCTTAGCATAGTTGGATGAAGTGGAAAGATAAGGAAAACCTTTGTATAGATGAGAGGGGAAATTTCATACTGTCAAGCTTTTTAGTTATTTACACATTTTTATACACAGACTTCTTCCATTCTTTACCCTGTATCTGTGCTACAAATCTAATTCTTCATATTGGTTGTCAGTTTTCCAGAAGATAATTTTGGAGAACAAATCAAAGCAATCCTGTTTAAAGAGGATGGAAAGAGGGAAAAGGGATTCATGCGGAGACACACTGATTCCAATATTTTCTTCTGAGTCACAGCTTTCCAGAACAGAATCAGTCTGCAGTACAACCTGCTATTCAAAGGCTTGAGACACACTGCTTTTCAGTTAGCACAGCACTGGGCATCTTTGAGACTGCAGCAGTTTGAACAGGTTCTAGTGCTGTAAGAGCAGCATATCTTCAATATTTGCTACTTGCCAAAGTTTATGCCACTTGAAAACATTACCAGCAGGAAGCTTCTCTCATGAGTTACAACTCTGATATGAATGCAAAAGAGCACTTGACTAAGAACAAGTAAAGATGGCTGCACCAACATAAGCAACTTAAAGCAGCTTCTTTTTTTGGTGCAAAATTGTCTGTCATTTATCCTTGGAGTCTTGCAGTATTGTTGACAGATTTTAATGGATATTTTTATGCCTTTTTACTTTTATAAGGTAACCACTTGCACTTCTGAGAAGCATATCTTTAGACACTCTAAAATCTAGCCTGTTGGGCCAATCTCATGACTCTTGCATGTCAATTAAAAACCAGAACGTAGTATGTAGTGATTACTGCATTTCTAAAGAAATACAGATTTACTTACTATTGCCATTTAGTACGTAAACATATATTTCCATTACCAAAGATTTTGAGGAACCTTCTCTTACCTGTATTGGGATCTTTTACTACAATGTCAGAAATCTCAAAGAGTTTCAGAGGCAAGGGCATCTTTCGGTTAGCAGCAATAGTTTTCAGTAGCCCAGGAAGGAGGGTTGTACGTGCCACCTGCAGGACGAACATGGTTGCTGCAAGTGAAATACCTTCCAAAACAGCCAATGTTATGATTTCTTAAGTTTTTGTTTTGCTCACTTGTAGCAAGAGTTTAAAAGTAGGCAGGTGCTGCTAATACTGCATTAGTCTCTCATGTTTGAGTTATTTTTGTTTTAGAATTATTCAACCTGAAAATGTACATTCTCTGCATGTTCTTTATACTGCATTTTCTGAAAGAGCGTATATGTGAGTTTAAGAATAGGCATTGTTTCACAGATGCTTGAGCTGCAGTGCAGGGTAGAAAAGACAATACAGAAAGAAGTGCAAAAAAATTCCCATAAACTTAATCTCATTAATGCAAAAGGTAAATACTAAGTTATTTTGGAAATATTAAACACTATCTGAAATACTATCTTGATGCCTCCTGATAATCAATGATATATGCAGAACCTAAGTAACAGAAACAGATATATTCAGATTGCAGTTGCGGACAACCTGAAATACATAGAAAACGTATGCAAACAACCAGGGCAGGAGGCAATCACATTAGTGTTCTTACAGATACATTCACACGTATTTCTTGTGTTTTCCATTCAAATACTTCCTTAGAAGTGCACCTTTCTTTTTTTCCCACATTGGAAGAGTCTGATTCAAAAAATCTAACGGAAAAGAGATGGGAGTGCCTGTCTGCTGCTTGACTGCAGGTAAAAAGTTACCACATGCTTAGCCATAGTAACTTAACGCTGGGCATGCAGCATTTCTGTCTGTTTATCCTACTTTTGCTAACCGATGAAGAGTTCCAGCTGTACACTCAGCTAGAATAGGGTCCCTGGCATCGTCCCGCCCTTGTCTTCATGGCAGAGTATATGGGATAGGGGGGAAAAGCTATCCTGACAATCCCATCACAGTTAATATCTAAGGCTGAAAGTTTATAGTGCATCACAAACAGCAATCCTTCCCAATTTTCAGGGAGGCCCATAGAGTTTAAAAGAGAGAGGCTATTTTTGCCGCAAGGAACATTCAGCCAATGATACAACTCCTTAGCAGCATTGCTACTGCAAAGGCCTGCAGTCCTGGGAGAACAGGAGTCTGAAATTGCACCTGGCAAGAGGGGTTGCCACTTCTTCTCCTTTTGTTCACACTCAGTGTTGTTTGTTTGTGGTACATTCTGTGTTGGTCAGTTGTAATCACTGTGCCAAATTATACATATGAACAGGTGATAAAAGTCTCAACATGTTATAACTGTGTCTTGCAGGACTGCTTATTTGTGGTACCAAACAGAAAAGAAAATAAATGAAGGTACCCAAAAACTCTGTTCCTGAATCTCAGAGCAGCATAAGACTGGTTTTAGTATTAGAGATAAGATCTAGAAAGGTATTTTAGACACTCAGAGAAATCAGACTCACTGAATAAGATCTTGAGGGGAAAAAAACCCACAAATCACAAAACATTAATACCCATGGACTGCTGAAACTTTTTTAAAGCTTTCTAAAGAATGTCTACCTTTGTATTTCTTAGGTTAGAAACAAAAAAAGCCTCTAAATTTACCTTCTCTGTAAACTAAAGAAAGCATCTTAAAAAAAAACCAACCCAACACTCTCTCAAAGAAATAGAAAAACTACGGGTACACTTTTAGGTATTTTCAAAACTGTTGAGAATACTGTACTTGAGCTCTCACTCTCTGCTCTAGCAAAGACCAAATGATCTAGAAACGAGAATTAAAATACTTAAAGAGCAGTACAGGTTTAAAAATTTTTTTTAAAAGTAATAATGTTTACTATTTTTTAAAAACCATTTCCTATCCAGAGCTCAGGAAGTTTAGAGATTACTAGGTGTAGCAGTTCCAATTATATTTAATGGCTTTTCTAAATGCAGGGGTTGATCAATCATCTGGGATTTTTCTGCAATAAGCTCAATTTTGCCACATGCTGTCATACAGAGCATAGTATTTTACTTTATTGAAAAGCTAATAGTATTTCACACTGAATAAGGTATTTCTCAGTGAAGGAGTACCAGAAAATGACTGCTAGCAAGTTTAGCACATGAATATGCACATCCTCTTTGATGCAGGGAAAGTAGCTCTTTAGTTTATAAATTTTATTCCTGTTGGTTTCTCTCTTTCCTTTTTAAATATAGTATCTGTGACAAAGTTGCTTCAAAATTTGACCTGAATTATCTCACCTGAAATTCTGCAGTTTTGGGGTTTGCGATGCGCACTGCTTTTGTTGCAGAGATATCCGTGCCAAGTTTATCTGCAATGTCTTCTTGAGAACACTGAGAGGGAGAGAGAAAAACCACCAAGGTCAAGTAGTTAAAATAGACAGCAAGCCAATGATGAAATCTGATATCAAGAATGAACAATGCAATTGTAGCACTTGCTTTGAGACCCCCCATAATATATGCTCTCATGTCCAACACCCACTTGTAATAAAAATTAAGCCCCACTCTTAAGACTAAGTAGGCAAACTGGTTTATCTACAAATGTCAATTACTAACCAAAACAAAACTAGTTTACAAAAAAAGGCAAGTGTTTATTTAGACTTCTGTCACTGATTGCCATCATATCTGTTCCAAAAACAGAGGCTCAGATTCTGCCCCCTGACTTGCAGTGGGTGAAGTGAATTTATTTCTGAAAATAGCACTATGAAAAGGGAATGGTACCCGAGCTTTCTCACAAAGAAAGCAATCCCTTGGGAGCCACTCACAGAGAGCAAAGTACTGTCTATGAAAAATGGGTCATATGGCCAAGCCTTCAATTTTCATAGCTGCATAGGATTCTCATTGTTTACTTTTTTTTCCTGAGTTGAAGTATTTTTAAAGCCCTAATTCTCAAGGTGTATTTTTGAGCTGGTCAGTAAAGCAATACACATGCACTTTATCAGGCTCAGATGATGTCTGGGCACATACAGCAACAGATGCTACTGATAAGATCCACAGTATGGATTTCCAGAATTTATAATTTTATTAATGTATTAAAGAAACCAATAGCAGACTAGCATGTAATTGAGGATTTGCCAGTATACTGCAGTCTCCCAGAAGTGTTCGCTTTGCACTGGCAGCACTCTGCAAAGTGTGTTGATAGACCAAATGTGAGGAAAATGAGCAGATGATACCATCTGAAAAAGTGGATTATTGAATACAAAAAAATAAAATGGTAATGAATGCTGACCTCAGGAGGAGAAAACTCTGTTAAACAGTTTTGAGATGTGTATCTAAACTATGGTATGTTACTGTGATTTAGCTAAATGCATTTTGGCTAAACTGGAGCTCCTTACAGAAAGCAATGTTATTGTGTACAAGTATAACTTGGGCCTCAAACCAAGAAACAGACTGTATGCACAAATACGTAAGTAGCTTTTGTCATATAGCACTGGATGTTGTAGCATAAATGGTATTTGTCATAGTGGTGTTTTAATACAGTGCTCATGACAGCGCAGACTGTGGGTTTCACCATGCCACAGCAGAAATACAAATGTGTAATGTGATAACATGATATACTGCATGATCTTACAAAATTCTGCTGTTACAGTTCATAAAGGTCCTCAGTTGTAGTGATGTAACACATTCAATGTTTCTAAGGATATTATCTATTCAGTGCTGAAAAAATGGAATTATATTTACTAATTAATAAGGAAAAATCTATAAAAGCTTGACCATGTTACACATATTATTTCCCCAACATGGTACTACCACAGGTAGTCTGAATATCTTTGTCAAATCCTAGCACTGCAGAAAGTAATACTAGTTATTGTCCTGGTTACTTAAATGAGTTGGTAACAAAATATTAAAACTGGAATATATTTTGCAGATTTTAGAATTAGTCCAAATTTTGCTTTTGAAGCACAATGAAATCTGAAGATGTAAAAATTTTATTCAGTTCATTTGGATTACCAACTTTGGTTGCAATATCTGAACTTTTCAAAAGTGTGGAAGTGTTTTAGGAGCCTGTATCCCTGTATCTTAAAATCTTTGATTATCAAAAATAATCTCTGATCAGATAACTACCTCTTAAAAGGCTGTGTACTTTCAGGGATGTATACTTCTGGCCTGCTAGTAACTTTTAAGTTCAGGAAAAGTTTGAGAATTTCCACAGAGCTTTTAATAGAATATGTGATGGTAGCTCCCCATACACTAAAATGTCCACAAATTGTACTTTAAGGCAAAGGCTTTGAGCAAATCTTGTAATGGAAAATATTTTCTAAAATATATATTCAGTAGCTGACTATGCCAGTCTCCATGTATGGACAGTTACCATGTACATTTGGAGGGCATGGGGGTGTACTTAACCTTTTTTTTAATAGTAGATCAGATTCTCGATCCAGTTCACAACTATGGCAAAGGTGTGTGAACAAGTGGCCATAACAGAGATGGTGTTTCCTACTGAACATTTCATTTGAACAAAACAATCCTGCTGCAAAATTTCAGTAGTAGAAATTACACCAGCTGTTAGTACTGGTGTGGCTCATGCTTCTGCAGAGTCCTAATTCTTGGTAGAAGACTACTGGCATGGCTGTAACAAATAATACGAATAGTACCTGCAAGCAGCAGTAACAATAATTACTATCGTTTCCTTTGTTCTTCCACGCAAAAAAAAACCCACCTGTGGTGAATTTTACAGAGGAATTTGTGTCCCCTTAGTGTGTATTATAACTCTTTTACTCTTTGCTGACTACATATCAGCTTAGCATCTAGTACAAAAAGTCATAGGAATAGAAACAGAGTAATCTCTAAACTGCAGTAATATCCACTGGAAAGTACTAGATTTTAATGTTTGTCTTCCAGAGTATCACACTATGATGAATTTCACATGTGGTGATCAAAGTCATGAGAGAGACTTGCTTTCTTACAATTTCATCCTATCAAGTTAAACTGAAACCACTACTTCAGTAGCTATTTTTGCTTTTGTACTGAGAAGTACATGCCACATTAACAGTGACTCATTCAATTTCTCTGACCTGCCTACTCATAAAATATTATACTATAATTTCAAAGTGCTAGCAAACAATCACCTGCCAAAACAGTAACAGAGAATACTGGTACATTTATACAGCAACATATTCTCAGACCATCCTCTGCAGTTTTGGCTGCACTGCTGTTCCAACACACAACTAAGAAAGGAAGAATCAATACAATATACCAGGGCAAAAGTGAGTGCTTCAGTAAATCCAGCAGCTGCCAAGTCCAGTCTCAGAAGTTCTGTGAGCTTATTGAGGGGGAGCTAAAATGAAACAAAAAACAGTTTTTCAACTTCCATCTACAAACATCTTTCTAATTTTTTCCCCGAGGTGATTCTGCCTGTTACATAATGGTGAATTCACTAGGGAGGTACTATGCTTGTGTGCTTAAAATTTTTGTGTTAGCCAGCTGCCTTTAGGCTTGCTTGAGGAAATGAATCTCCCAATTAGAGATTTAATACGGGCTCCCTACTTAAACCGTGCACTTTTTCAAGTACCAGCAACCACTGGTCTTGGACTTATTCAAATCAGTGGGGCATCTGTTTTGTATCCTATCCATGGTAAATACTTCTCAAGGCAAAGCATGTCAAAATATTTAATTCCTAGGTTCTGTTTTCCCCAAAGCTCTTCTGGCATGCACTAGTCATTTACTGACAATAGAGCGTTTATTTGAAGGGGCAATCTTACTTGATTAGCTATGGTGTACGTTTTCGGAATAGTCATCTGAATGTTGTTATAACCATAAGCTATTGCTGCATCTTCTACGATATCACATGCATGGATAATGTCCGCTCTGGTAGGAGGGATTTCAATCTCTATATTGTTCCCATTCCCTATGACGTGTGACTTCAAACACATCCTAGTCAGCAGCTTTGCAAGGCTTGATGGAGTTTCACTGAAACAAAACAAGAGAGTCGTAATTTACGGATCTTGCATTATACAGACTGACTTTTTAAAGTAATCAATGTTTCTGTTGCAGTGCCTTATATCCTGAAAAATCTCCACGTGCTTTATGGACTACACGCAGGCTAAGCATTCCACCAGAACCAGCTCAGATTCTGACTCTTGAGATTATATTTTCTTTATTTCATAACAATTGTGTGAGGCCATAAAGAATCGTTCACTTTTGTTGAAAACAAGGGAAAGTGTCTTACAGAGTTGATCAAATTACCCGAGATAACCCCTGAATTTTTGATAAATTAAAAAAAAAAATCAGTGTAAATATTTTTAAAACAATGCAATAATTAATGTTTTTTCTAGTACCTTTTTCATTATTAATGTAAACTGTTCTCATTTGCAATAACACACCTGATTCCTATTTTCTTGTTAATGAGTTCAGGTTTCACCTTCTCTTTTCGGTAAGCCAGTTCCTAAAAAGAAAGACAAAGCTTTCCAGCATACTCCACCTAAGACAATTCAATTTTGACATCTTAGTAACCTAGCTTCTTCTAATTACAATACTAAAATGACATTCACATTAGCCAAGTGCGGAATATTAGGCTAAACTTAATATTTTAAGGTAACAGGATTCTTGAAAACATATTATAGTACGTGATGCAAAAGCTGTTCTCAGTTAAGCTAGAAAGTTGAATGCAGCATGAAATCCCTGTTATTGAAACTTCTGATAATTTCTGATGTGTGCAAGTAACACTGCTGATGAAAGTTTCTATTCACCAGTTCATCCTAAGTCAAAGCCCTAAAGCAGTGAACAGTCATGCATGAGATCTTATGGTCTAGTACAGATCAAATGACTTTTATGAGGAAAAGGAAAGCAAACTTTCTATTTCTGTATTGGCCCAAAAATATCTACTGGCATTTTACTTAGAAAGTGTGCAACACATTTAAGAAAGTTATTTTGTATATATTTACTTAGGTGTTTCTAAACTTCTAGATATACAAATCCTTAAAAAGCTTAGCATCTAAAACTGGGGATTTTTTTGCTCTATTTTATCAAGGGAAGCTACTTTGGTTACCACAGAGATTTCTGTTTTGTTGGATATCTCTTCAGGATTCTAGGGCTTTCCTCTGTTGATTAAAGATGACATTGCTGAAAGAAAAAGCTAAAATACCCCTAGAAACACTCTCAGTAAAAATCAGTTTCTTCTCTCTAAACAGTTTGTACTTGCTTGATACACGTGATTTTATAAACTCAGCCAGATCTGTCTTTAGTTACTTTCAGGAAACACAAGGAATTTTATTTTTATTTTACACTTACTAAGAGAGCAAAAAGTAAGACTCCATTACTGCAAAGAGGTCTGCCTGGGCCTCTGAATGCAGGCAAACCTGCACTTGAAGTCAACATCCTGCCTTACAGACTTATATAGTTGGAGTCTATACAGTGAAAGACTGAAAAAATCCAGTGTTACAAGTTAACTGAATGGCAGTAAAGCTTCCAGATCTGATAAGTAAGTTATGCTGAGGCTGATTTCAGCTGTCCACTGGTTTAAGCCTGAAGGACCTCTTCCTGCATTCATTCTTCCTGATCTGGAACACGTAGGTTTTAAAGGCTTTAGACACAGATTATGACCTTTGATTGCAATCTTTAGTTGTTCCTGAAAGAGTTCATATCACATGAACTCTAAACCACAATCGTGGTTACCACTTGTAACTTTAAACCCTACCCTTCTTTTTGGAGTATCAGGCTATGTCAGTGAGACCGTATTTTTAGCCTTATCACAAATTAGTGGAGCTTCAGAATGAGTTTCCTAGATAAGGGGAAGCTGGAGGTGGAGTTATTTTTCATGGGGCTAGAGAAGGCCCTGACTCACTAACATAGAGAGTGCCAAGCTGAGCTTTTACATCATATCTTAGAACCAGTATATACTGCCTCTGCAGAAAAAGAAAACAATGTCACTCTCACCAGACTTTGAGTAATTAAAATCCTTTCCCCAAGGATACTGAGATATCATGTCACTATGCTTACCGGATAGATGTGGGTCTTCCCATTAGGATAAACTACTTCTACTGCTTCAACACTGAGAGACAAAAAAACAGAAGTAAAAATGTTTTTAACACATGGCCCAAATGTAATGTCTTTCTGACTAGAGATTTCTACTCACCTGAATGGCTTCTCACAATATTCACTAAACATCGTGACTATAATATCAAGAACAATTTTTGCCTACAAAATAAAGATAATAATCACATTGAAATCTGTCATCTACTTGTGTTGAAGTAGACAAAATATATTAACAAAAATGGGGAAAAAAATTCTTGTCTTACACTCTCTTCATTCTATTTTATGTAACAACTTAACCAAAATCCTAGCAGTCTAGAACACTAGATTGAATTATTACAAAATATTTTTGTTCTGCTGCAGAGACATTTATGCAAAAATTTGAAATCTTTGGTTTTCAAGGTTCTGAAGTATTGATATATCTTTACTAAACTCTGTTCTGAAGACACATGGGGTCTTTATTACCAGTGGGAACTGGGTCTTCCCAACCTTTAGTGTACTTAGTCATTTCACTGAAGTTCAAGTGAGAATGTAGAGGTTGAAGGACTGTGCATTGGTTAGTAACACATTTTCAAATAACTTAATCTGCAAAATTTTTCGGTTTACAGTTAATATTTTAAAACATTAGTATAACAGAATATAACAATGAGATTCAGATCAACTTCTCAATCTACAAGGGTTGGTTTTTTTTGATGCCTCACAGTGTAATGTCCTTCATGTAAACAGAACAGCACTATTTTTATTTTCATGATCAAGGCAAGCAGTAGGAAGAAACAGTTATTTCTTAATTTGTTTAGAAGCCACTCCCTGGCATGCAAATTTATTTGTGTCATTAATTGTGTAGCAGAGCAAGTAAAAAGTGTGTTTGCTCTTAAGCATTAAGATACACACTTTAGGGAAGTATCAATGAATGCCCAACCTATATTCAAGAACAGGCAATTATAACTGCTAGGCTTTCATGCTTCAGCTTTGAGTTACAGAATTTGCATATGGAAAGACTTCGATTTGACAATTATTTGCGCAGAATTCCTGCTTGAAAAAGATAACTAAGAAGAAAAAAGTGTTGTTTTCCTTCCCTCAGCCCAAATTTTAAGTAGGAGACAAAATTATTCTTTACAAAGAGTATTCTGGCAAAAGAGGCAGTCTTAGTGAATTTTATTCTTCTTGAAGCCTTTCGGATTTAGAAAAGTGCTCAACAACAAAAAAAGCCCCTAATTTCCTTAAATTACTTTCTTACAGAAACTGAACACTTAGTGTCAACATAAAGACACAGTAAAAAGAAAAATCCAATGAAAGTACAACACTTTCTATAGAGCAAGCCTTTGTAAACTGTGTTGAGGGAACTCCACATAGTCCTACAACTTATCCTGGCCTTTTGACACGAGAGACTGGCTCCAGTAAGTAAATGCCTGGCTATTTTAGGTCTTAGTATTGGAACCCTATCACCCAAAAGGAAAACAATGATTTTATACCATATCAAAAGCAGGAAAGATTAATTTACCTTTGTAATATCTGTGCCTGTACATTCAATAAACACGTTTCTGGTGTTTACACTTATTTTTGTATGATCTCCTAAAACATGCGAAGACAAAAACACATTAAGAAATATTATTATTTTTCTTGTAATGACACTGATGATAATCCTTCTGAATCACAGAGTCAGTGTCATCTTCCTCAGCTTAAAAAGCCACTGTCTACTGCACCAACATTCACACTTCTTACCAGAACAGCAGCTCTCTTTATTTTTAAGTTTATGAATCAAAAAGAGGGAAAAGACAGACCAGCTTTACTGACCGGGTTAACCTTTCCATTGACAGACACACAATCCTACAGGTATCCCAGTACCCAGCTGAAACGCAAACCAGTAGAAGAGCGGCCATCTGCTGGTTGCAAACTGGTGGTGCACCTCCAGAACAGCTCCTCTTGCCTGGCTTGGGAGGCAAGAGCAACTTCTGCACTTGATGTGTGATGGTGCGTAAGAAAGCAGCCTTGGACAGGAATTGATTAAATGGTTTTTAAAAAGTTATTTAGACTGATGAATATCCATAGCTACTTCTGTGAATAACCAAGATCTCTTGACACTGTCTGCTGATACGCTATGGGTTTGTCTACATGAGTGATTCAGGTCCTGGTCTGGGTTCCTTTTAGGCATGAATTTGCTTTGTGTCTGTACCAGGAGTCATGAGGTGTGCACTGCAGCACATCACTGATGCATTCAAAACTGTTACTCATCTGGAAGAAGCAAGGTAGCACTTACACTTAGGGACATCACCTAAAGTGTCTCTAGCAAACTGAACCTTTCTTGAGTTCTAGAAGGGTACGAGAAGCTAAATGCAGAGGATTGCAGTGGGACTTTTACATCCTCTTGATGTAAAACATCACACTAGTAGCCTATAGAGGGAGCAAAAAATTTCACTGCATTTAAACTGAAAGGAAAGAAGATTATACGAAATGATAAGTGAAACAATTTTAAGAAAACAGAATAATCCTTATTACACATCAGTGTTTCTCTTAGATGCTCCAGCTCACACTCAAAATAGCAGTAGCATACAAACTAGTCATAAGTAATCTTACCATTGATGATTGGTGGCATGGAGAGAACAACACCGTTGCTGTCATAAATGACAGGATAAAGTGGCTTGTTTTCAATCAGGTGTAAATAGTGCCGAAGGTGGCTGTCAGTCTGGAGACAAAAAGCACAACCTAAATTTCACATTAGCTCACTTGTGAACTTCCATAGTGCCACAATCCTTTGAGAAATTAATGGGAATTTTGAAAGTGGGAAGGGACTGGGCTTAGAGCTAGGTACTTCACTAGCAAAAGCTGTTTGTTCTCAGAAGCAGGAAAACTTTTAAATGAGACAACTGGATTTTTGGTTTTCAGAAGTGTTAAAAATTATTTCCTAAGCATTCTCTCAAAGATGCATAGGCCATGCTGTCTAAATGATGCCCTTGTTCACCACAGCAGACCTTCTACTGCCAAACCCATAGGCGCACATCCTTAGTTTATAGCAACTTTCCTTAGAAGTGATAAAAACTAGCACTACAATACCTGTAATTAAAATTAAGCACACATTTGTGCTTAAATTTGATTCAAAATTTACATCTGTTCCAATGACATAGGTATACGCTGTGCCAAAAACAAAAGTTGCTTTTAGTCCCTCTGATACCCCTTGCTTCCTAGTTCTCTTACTCACCTTCAGTCAGTGATCCTTGAGAATTTATTTATCTCTATGACCTGTATGTGTGCTCCAACAGAGCTGTATATTGTAATGACAGTGATAACAGTATTGTTTGCAAATGCTAACATTTAAAATGGCCCAAATAAACACCACAAAATTAGACCCGACAGAATCTTTTCCTAGCATTTACCTGGTTTCACAAGGATGCTGGGCCAAGAGCAGTGCAGACTTAATTTGAGCCTTTTACACAGCTACACTTGCCTAATATGTAGTTGGGCAGATAATTCAGCATCTTCCCAAGTAAATTGGCCAAATTAAAGTAACATTAAAAAATCTGATATTATTTACCCCAAGCTTTTCTCAGTTTTGTACACTATCTTACCAGTGTAGACAGATAAACATACAACCTTCTTACAGTACTATGAAAAGCAGTCTTCATGTTGATAAATCAGAGCATTAATATCAAACCCACTATTCTAAGAGTTATGCTTAACCACAAAACACCATGATGTATCTTTAATTACCATGCATTTCTCATGAATAAGAAAAATGTGGAATGTTCACTGGCTGAACCTACAGAAGAGAACTGTGTGTTATTTTTAAGAATAACTCTTAATAAGAACGATATGAGACATGTTAAGCCTTGGAAATTTATCTTCCTGCATTTAGTGCAACAAGTCTGAAAAATCCCACTTACCCTATACAGGTCCATAATTTGTGAAGCTGTGTACTCCTGGGATTGATTCAAGGGCTTGAATTTAATTTCAGAAGGTGCTTTAGCTGTGTAAGTAAATGGACCAGAGATGGTGTCCAAGTCATGGGTGCCTATTGCTACTAATGCTCTTTTCCTAGAAAGAAAGAAGGCAAAATAGAATCATAGAATTATTAAGGTTGGAAAAGACCTCAAGGCTCATCAAGTCCAATTATCAACTCAACACCACCTAACCCACTAAATCATGTCCTGAAGCACCACATCTACATGTTTCTTGAACACCTTGTTGGTGCCTTGGAGCTGGGGGCAACGACCTTCTTAAGCAAAAGTTTGTCCTTGGTTATGAGGGGAGTAAAGCCTTTGGTGTGTTCTTGGCTTCTTCTCATCAGCAAGGAATAGGATGATTGCCTATTGCCTTTTTCCAACCAAGATGTTTGAGACATCCCAAGGCCTTTGAGAGGCAGTTAGTCCTTTACAGTCTGTTGTCTGCAGAGCTGGGGTGGTGCTGGTGCAGTTAGAGCAGGTGTGAATTCTGGAGTTGGGTTTTTTGGCAGGAAAGTGGTTCTAGATCACGCTCTAGATCGCTTTATGGCTCTAGATGACAGTCTAGCTTGCACTATTGTTCTAGATCATGTTCTAGCTTGCTTCAGGGTTCTAGCTGTCTTTTTATGGTTTCCAGATCACGCTCTAGATCACTTAGTTGTTATAGATAGCATGCTAGAACTAATTCTAGAGCTCATTCTACATTACCACGCAATTCTAGATCTAATTCTAGAGACCACTGCAGCCGCGACTTAGTATTCTAGAACTACATCTAGAGCACTTAATCTAGACAGTTCTCTAGATGTAATTCTAGAGCCCATTCTAGATAACTTTAGGATTATAGTTCTAATTCCATAGCCCATTCTAGAGCTATTTACATCTCTTGACAGGCCAGCTCCTAATAATATGTGGAGTTCCTTTGAGATATTTCACGATGCTGTATACTCCTACGCATTCACAGAACAACAAAGAGGAAGGCAGGCAAAAATGCCAGGAGGCCTGCATGGATGAACAAGGAACTCCTGAGCAAAATCAAACAAAAAAAGGAAGCATACAGAGGGTGGAAGCAAGGACAGGTAGCCTGGGGACAATACAAAGACACTGTCAGTGAAGCCAGAGATCAGGTTAGAAAAGCTAAAGCCCTAACAGAATCAAATGTGGCCAAGGACATTAAGGGTAACAGGAAGAACTTCTATAGGTATGTCAGCGATAAAAGGAGGACTAGGGAAAATGTGGGCCCCCTTCGGAAGAGACCGGGAGACATGGTGAGCCAGGATATAGAGAAGGCTGAGGTACTTAATGAGTTCTTTACCTCAGTCTTCACTGGCAGGAGCTCAAGCCACACTGCCCAAGTTGCCGAAGGCAAAGGCAGTGACTGGGAGAAGGAAGAACCACCAGCTGTAGGAGA